GTTGCCCGGGCGGGTCTCGAACCCGCGGGTTCAGGCGATCCACTCACCTCGGCCTCCCAAAGCGCTGGGATTACAGGCTGAGCCACGGAGCCCCACCAGGAAGAATTTTTCAAAAGCTCATTCCTCGCATCTCATCCCATCCATCAGGACACACAGCCATGGGGCCCAACTACCGGGCCAACTTTGCATCATGAGTTTCTTTTGGGAGCCTATGTTAGCATAGTTGGCACCTAATTTTCGGTGGGAACCCAGAAGCAACACCTAGTTCCCCAATGTAGTAGGTTATGCAGTAAAATGGAGGGTAGAGGGCGTTCCGGGATGTAACACTACATTCAGGGAATAAGAGGGAGGCAAAGTTGTTGCCGAGCCTGCCCTGGAGACGGCCGTGCTGTCTCTGCGTTGACGAACCGGGCCAGCCTGGTCTCTGGAGAGCAAGTATGAAATACGGGCTGCCGAGATTTGGGGGAGACAAAGAGGGGACAAAGTGCCCCGAATCATTTGTTCATGCCCCCTTTGCATGTGCTTTTCTTGAACTGGTGAGAATTCCCCATTTTTGAGAGAAAGAAATACATTACGACGTCTTTTGCAAGCGCGTTGCAATTCAGGGAGCCCGCAGGTTTCTGGAGTGAGGGTATTTATTGTCCCGTGAATGGCAGGACCCCTCCTTCCAGGACTGGGGAACCCACCTAGCTGGTCCTCACCATCTAGCCCTGACAGGTCTCAAGTTCAGCTTGGGCTAGCCCCTTGCCCTGTCCCTCGGCAGGGGAGCGACCTGTTCTGAAATCTGCTTTCCACTCCCAGTTCCCGTGCTCCGCGCCATCAGCGACCAGGAGAGTCAGGACGGCCTGTACCAGAAGTGGCAGATGCTGATGGCCTACATGCTGCATGTCCTTCCCTTCAGTGTCATTGCCACCGTGATTTTCAGCAGCGTATGCTACTGGTAAGGGGCCGTGCAGGGGTCTTCAGGTCTCCCGCGGAGTCACTGGGGCCCGTGGACTTGCAGAAGGCAGAACAGCTCCGTGTTCTTTGCCCGGGAGAATCTACATTTTGCCCATCAGTGTCTTTCAGGACATTTGTTTTGCTGTAAAAAAAAAAAAACCCAGCCATGGATGGCATGGGACCTGAGAACACACCAACAAGATGACACGTGACAGGGGATAGCATGTCCCTCGTTCATGGCAGGGCTGGGCCAGAGAAGAGGGCTCTGAAGAGGCTGGGACCCAGGGATACATGGTGCCCTGGTGCAGGGAGAAAGCAACTGCATGTGAGATCTTAAGACAGACACATTCTGAGGGTGGGAAGAGGACACCAAGCAGGGAAGGAGGAGGAGTGATCAGGGAGGTAGGAAGAAGCAGAATCAGACAGCATCAGAGAGGATGAGGCAAGAGCGTGTTTCAAGATGGTCAAGTAAACTTTTCAATACTGCAGTGGTTAAAGGGGTGGGGAGGTCACAGATCTTCCCATCAGAGCTTCAGTGGAGCAGTGGGAGCCAGTCTACAAGGGAATAAGAGTGGGATGGAGAAAGCATGTGCTGTTTTGAGAAGCTTGGCGGTACAGGAGAGGACGGAGAGGGGCAGGTGCTGAAATGGTGATCAGGTTTAAAGAATGGTTGTTTCGTATTTGGTAAATAACACCATCAAAAAACACTAGACTGGGCATAGATGAAAATGTAGCCAAAATGTGGATAAGTCAAAGGGCAGGTTTCCAGAGTGAACCAACAGGGATGGAGAAATTGGAGTAATGTGGGATCCAGGATGCAAGCGGCCAGGATCACATGTTGCAAAGATGGGAGAGTGGGGACGGGGCTGGACAGATAGAGAGGATGAAAAGTAGAGAGATGGAGACAGTGAGGAAGGCATGCAATCGGAGGTAAGTTCATCTACTGGGCACTGGGGAGGGAGACTGAAATGGGGGGGGCAATTTAAAGCAGAGGTTTATATCAGTCGTGATGGGACATGCCATTGGAACTCAAGATACAGTGAGGAAACCCTAGGTGCCCAGGGGCCAGCTGAGGCAAAATGGCAGAGTGCAGCAATATCCTTGCCCAACCCATCTGCTGCTTAAGGAGAGAGCAGAGCGCCCAGAGGTGGAACCGAAAGGTAAAGAATGACAGAGTGAGCAAGAAGAGACAGGCGACCATGGTCAGAAAGGGTGTCCAGAATCTGAAATCTTGGAAGTGGAACAGTTCTGAGTAATTTTTTTTTTTTGAGTTGGGGTCTCACTCTGTTGCCCAGGCTGGAGGGCATGACTTACCACAGCCTCCACCTCCTGGGCTCAGGTGATCTTCCCATGTGTGCCACCACGCCTGGTTACTTTTTTGAATTTTGTGGAGATAAGGTCTCACTATGTTGCCCGGGCTGGTCTGAACTCCTGGGCTTAAGCAATCCTCCTGCCTTGGCCTCCCAAAATGCTGGGATTATAGGTGTGAGCCACCATGCCTGACCTTGAGTAATATTTAAGTCTAAGACAAGGTGAGTGATCAAGATGAAGCCACTGGAATTATATTAGCTAATTAGGAACCGCTGACATTAATGACTCATCAAGAAGGTTAAAGAACTTGAGGACTCATCAAGAAGGTTAAAGAACAGTAGAGAGGAGCAGAGAATGACTCTGGTCTGGATGCTGTAAAATCATCAAAGATGGGTGTTTTCATGTCACAGAAGACTGCAATGTGGAAGGGAATTAATAGCATTCACAAACTCCATGATTTGTTCACAAGGAAAGATGGATGGCCTTGAAGAGTGGTGAGGAGGGGCGAGTATAAGACATGCTTCTGGCCGGGCTCAGTGGTTCAGCCTGTAATCCCAGCACTTCAGGAGGCTGAGGCAAGTGGAATGCCTGAGCCCAGGGGTTCTTGCAACTTGGCAAGACCTTGTCTCTACAATAAATCAAAAATTAGCCGGGCGTGGTAGCGTGTACCTGTAGTTCCAGCTAATTGGAAGTCTGAGGCAGAAGGATCGCCAGAGCCCAGCAGATTGACGCTGGGGTGGCAGTGAGCATGCCACGTCACTCCAGCCTGGGTGATGGAGTGAGACTCCAACTCAAAAAAATAAAATAAAATAAGCCATGCTTCTTTTCCTTACTCTACAAATAGAATAAAGAGCAGCCATGTCTGATGTTTGTTGAAGACATACAACCACTGGGGAGATGCAACTTGGTGAAAGGAATATAAGAGGAAAAGTGCACAGATATCGTTTGTTTACACGAAAATGAAGGTCAAGTCCATGGGAGGGGTTGGTAGAACAGAAGACAAGAGTGGAATGGTGTAGGCCTGGAGTGGGCTGACCTGACCAAAAACGAAAGACGCGAGGGGTTTTCAATAATCCTACACAACAGGTAGGAGATTCAGGGAAGGAGGGGCTGAGAAGCGGGTTGGGAGTCCTTGGCATTGGGGCGGGCGTGGAGCTAGCCAGGCAGAACGTGGTTATTTACGAAGCAGCCTGGAAAATTCAACAACCCCACTTACTACAGTTGGATGTGACCGTCATCTAAGTAATTTAACATTGTCCCGTGAGAGCCGAGGGAAGTGTGATAGGGAAATGGTGGCTCCCATTGAGCTAGAGTACATGAAGACAGTTCAAGGTCATCAGTGACTGCGAATGTCAGCTGTGTTCCAGGAAGGCCTTTCAAGGGGAGTTTGGCTCGCCCTTCACACCCCTCCCACCCTCCAGCCATCAGGATTTATGCAGAGAAGGCAAGTGTGGCATTTTTTCTTTAACGATGACCCCTGGAGAGGAAACTAAAGTCTTCGTGCTTTTCTAGGACTCTGGGCTTATATCCCGAGGCGGCCAGATTTGGATATTTTTCTGCTGCTCTCCTGGTGCCCCATTTAATTGGCGAATTTCTAGCTCTTGTGCTACTCGGCATGGTCCAAAACCCCAATATAGTCAACAGCGTAGTGGCTCTGCTGTGCATTGCTGGAGTGCTTGTTGGATCTGGATTTCTCAGGTAAGATAACACAATGAAAGAAATTTAGATTGGGATAATTTGTCGATAACAATCACCTGATAATGATTGTTATAGAAGAATTCCAGAGGAGAGTTATGTGATACTGGTTAAAGGTACTACGTTATAGTCTGGAGTGTTTATGCTGTTTGCTAATCATTATAGCCTTCAACTTTGAACTGTTGATCATTTGTTCGATGTCTTTTATACTGAGAGTCAGGAAATGACAAGGTTATGTTAAGATATGATGTGATTCCTATATGATAAGCCATTATGCCGAAGGAAGGAAAACCAATCTGGATACTCCAGAAAAATCTATAAGCTGTACGGCTGGTTAAATTGCGAGCATCTGAGCTCATGTCTGACCTGGTGCTGAGTCTCAATTCCTAGAAATTCTTAGGAACTAAGACTGGTTGGATAAGAAAAGAGCCTGCGTGAATAAAAACTGCTCAAAAAGTATCAAGATTTAAAAAACATGTACCAAATATTAACAGTAATGATCTCTGGGTGATATTTTGATTTTTTTCATATTTTTGTATTTCATAAATGTTCAATAAAGGACAAGTATCATTTTATAACCAAAAAAAAAAAAATGCCTAGACACACACATTTTAAAAGAGCAGTAGAAAAAGGGGTAGGGATTTTTTTTTTTTTGAGTTGGGGTCTTACTCTGTTGCCCAGGCTGGAGTGCAGTAGCACACTCATAGCTCACTGCAGCCTCGACCAACTGGGCTCAGGTGATCCTTTCACTTCAGCCTCTCAAGTACCTGGGACTGTGGGCATGCACCACACACCCAGCTGATTTTTTAATTTTTTTGTGGAGATGAGGTCTCACTGTGTTTCCTAGACTGGTCTCAAACTCCTGGGCTCAAGCGATCCTCCTGCTCAGCCTCCCAGAGTGCTGGGATTACAGGCCTAAGCCATAGCACCTAGCCAAGGGTACAAAATTGTAAAAGGGTAAAAATGATCCTTAGCAGATGATGTGAGGGTGACGTAGTGAGTAATCTATGGGCCCTGAGGAAATGTAAAGAACGCTCTTTCTTTGACTTAAATGTAAAAATTCAGCCAGGTGCAATGGTTCAATCCTGTAATCTCAGCACTTTGGGAGGCCAAGGCAAGAGGATTGTCTGAGCTCAGGGGTTCGAGACCAGCCTGGGCAACTTGGTGAGACTTCGTCTCTACAATAAATCAAAAAATTAGCCAGGTATGGTGGCGTGTGCCTGTAGTTCCAGCTACTTGGAAGGCTGAGGTGGAAGGATTGCCTGAGCCCAGCAGGTCGAGGCTGTGGTGGCCGTGAGCATGCTACTGCACTCCAGCCTGGGCAACAGAGTGAGACTCCAACTCAAATAAATAAATAAATAAATAAAAATAAAAAATCAAATCAAAACGCAAATGACTGAGTATCTACCATGTGCTGTTATATCTGGATGTTTAATTACTTAAAACTCTCAGAACAATCCATTTCTTAGGTAAGAAAACTAAGTTCAGACTTGACTGCTCAAGTCACACCACCTTGAAGAGTCTCCCATGATGCATGTGACTTCCTGGAGAGAGGCTGACCCAGGAGTCAGAAACTTCCTCTACTACCTAGCTGCCAGGTGACCATGGGCAAGTCACTTTCTTACCTAAATTATTCATAATTATAATATGAAGATGACTATCTCAGCCCCACCTATCTCAAGGGATTATGCAAGTGAGATAATCGATGTAAAAACACAAGATAAACTGTAGTGAGTTATGTAAAGTTGAGATAGGATAAAGCAAAGGGCGCTAGGCTTTGCTTAAGGAGGAAGGATATTTTTTCCACTGACACCAGTATACTGTATTTGTCAATGTTGCTTAAGTGGATTGTTAACTTCTATGAAAAATGCACAAATTGGATCACCAAAGGTATAGGATCAAGGTACAGACCCAAGCGTGGGCACCATCTGCTCTTTTAAATTATTTGAGTCAGTAAGTGGCACTAATTCAATTCACTGATTCAATGTGGCACTAATTCAAGTCAGGCAGACCCCGACTTACAATTCAATTTACAATTTTGGGACTTTACGATGGTGCAAAGGTGATACACTCTTCCGTAGAAACAACTTTGGGTACCTATACAATGATTGCTTTTCACTTTCAGAACAGCATCCAATATATCGCATGAGATATTCAGCATGTTATTATAAAATAGGCTTTGTGTTAGATGATTTTGCCCAGCTGCAGGCTCATGTAAGTGTTCTGAGCATGTTTAAGGTGGGCAAGGTTAAGCTGTGAGCGCTGCCAGGTTAGGGGTAGTCAATGCTTTTTGATCTGGGGTATTTATCAGGATGTAACTCCATTATAGATCAAGAAGCATGTGTATTTGGTTTTTAGAAAAAGGGGCTTAATTGCTCTTAAAAGGGGGGCAGTAGCCAACAATACTAAAAGCCCTTGGATTCTTGGCAAAATCTTTTTTTTTTGAGTTGGAGTCTCACTCTGTCGCCCAGACTGGAGTGCAGTGGCCGCTCCCGGCCACCGCAGCCTCAACCTGCTGGGCTCCAGCGATCCTTCCACCTCAGCCTTCCAAGTAGCTGGAACTACAGGCGCGCGCTACCACACCCGGCTAATTTTTTGATTTATTGTCCAGATGAGGTCTTGCTGCCCAGGAGGGTCTCGAACCCGCGGGCTCAGGCAATCCACTCACCTCAGCCTCCCAAAATGTGGGATTACAGGCTGAGCCACCAAGCCCGGCTATCTTGGCAAAATGTTAACATCCCAAGGCTTCACATGAATCCACTCACTCCGTCACTGAACTGAAAGTCCATTCTTGAAGGCCCTGCCAACCTCCTAGTCATCACGTTCACATCTTTCCCTCAAGTCATCATCTTTTCAGCTAAACTGCCACTGGCTCCCTCCTCCTCCAAATGCAAATGAAGGTAGCTAAGCTGTCCTTTCTGCTTACAAAATAATCCAAACTCTTTGGGATAAAAAAATGTGCACAATGTAAACGTGTGAGAAAGAAACTCAAAGTTAGCTTGAAGTATTCTTTTTAAAATCATCAATTGGCCGGGCGCAGTGGCTCAAGCCTGTAATTCCAGCACTTTGGGAGGCTGAGGTGAGAGGATTGCCTGAGCCCATGGGTTCGAGAACAGCCCGGGCAACTTGGCGAGACCTCATCTCTACCATAAATCAAAAAATTAGCCAGGTGTGGTGGCACACGCCTGTAGTTCTGGCTACTTGGAAGGCTGAGGCGGAAGGATTGCTGGAGCCCAGCAGCTCGACACTGGGATGGCCGTGAACGTGCCACTGCACTCTAGCCTGGGCGACAGAGTGAGAATCCAACTCAAAAAATATAAATAAATAAATAAAATCATCAGTTACTTTACCTTCCAAAAATAGTGCAGTGAGATTCTAATAGTCAATGAGTGCTATGGACTGAATTTCACTTGCCGTAAGTATTCTATTTTGGAATATTATTTTTACATGTTACTCTGAGGAAGCAATTTCCTGAAGGAAGTGTATTTCTGAAATAAAAACTATATTTTATAATAAATTGATTTAAAGCATGTTTTGAAAACAGTCCTACATTTTATCTGATTTTTGAGATGAAAGAAAATAAGCAATAGCCAGGTCAGTCTCCCGTCAAAGGTCAATAGCTTAAGGCCACCTGTATGTTATTAGAAAATGACGGACCTTACAGTGAGGTAAACTCTAGTATATTCTGGATGGACTCAGTTCCTATAATCATTGAACATATTCGAGCAGGCTGAAGTGACTTCCTATTCCCCAAAATGTACATAGCATATAGCAAAAGCCATTTTTGGCAAAAGTCTATTCCTCAGTCCCACTAGAGGGAAGTGGGAATATGACAAGGTCTTCCTGAGTTAAACTGGGTTGTGCATCTTGCTGGGCTTTTAGAGAATCTGTAATGAAGATGAGAGTACATTGCTGTGTCGGACGTAGGGGATGCCTACCTTTTCCCACTTCCCAACATAACGGTGGACGCTCCCCCAACAGTACATTTAGAACTAAGGTTCTCTCTCTGCTTCTCTTGCTGCGCCTTTCACAGACCCATTTGGCTCCCTCCTCCACGTGCACAGAGCCTGTCTGTTGTTCCCAAGCCTGGAGGCTCTCTCTGAAAGCCTCTTTGTTTCTCATAGGCCACCCCACCTCCTTATCGTCTTCCTTCCCAGTAACAAGCTGTCTGCTTCTTGAGGGCAGCAGCTGTATCTCATTCATCATTACTCCTCAGTGGCCAGCCCTTGGCCTTGCAAACACATCAGGTTTGCAAAAAGTCTTTGTTGAATTGAGTGAATAAATGAACGGCCCTCTCCTTGAACTGCATACACATGGGTCAGTCACCAGAGCATGTTGGTTTTCTTTTCTGATTCAACCACAAGTGCACGTGGAGCATTTGTTTTGTGTTCGGGCCAGGGGATGCAGGGAGAGATGAGGGTGTGCCCAGCTGCTGGGCAGCCATCCTCTCTTGGCCAGTGTCCTTGCCAGGCCTTCGCTGTCTCATACTTGATCTGCTATAGCCTGCTCTCCTTTGTGCTGTGCTTACTCTGTCCTTATTCTGGTCCATCCTACTTGGTGTCACATTTGTTTTCTTAACACACTGGTTTCAACATGATCATTCTCGTGGTCATTCAACGCTAACTTATTTCAAGGCCCTGAAATGGCTGCTGCTTTTGTTCCAAACCCACCTCTCGCTGCTGCCACTTCAAATCCTGTGTTCCAACCTTTCTGGTGTGTGCAGTCCCGTATGCAGCCCGTGACATGCTGGGGCTCATAGCATTTCTGCAGTCCTAGAATGGCCTTCCTCTTCCCCTAATTCTTTCCCAGATTCCCCTCTATTCTTTTCAACTGGCAGCCTCTTAATGTGGTCAATTTAATTTTCTGTCTCAGGAAATTGTCGAAAAGATGGAGGTCACTTTGGAGTAGGTGAAACCATAAATAATAAATACAAAAACATCATGGACATGTGGTACTAGGTTTTTAATATTTTCTAGGCACAAATAATTCACTACTGTGTGTTTTTGTAATTTTAAGGATATATAGTCTGTATCTCCAACTACATTGTGAGTTCTTTAAGGATAGGATACTTCTTTTGAATTTCATAAGCACCTAGAACTAGTGTCTTGTAAATAGAAAGAAGTTTATATTCTCAGTTGTTAGAAACTATATAGCAGACCAAGAAGATCATGGTGTCAGCATAAAGTTTTTCCTGAAACAGATTGGAAACATGTTTCATTTTCACAAAATGTTTTGTTGTTTTTTTTTTTTGGTCAGAGTCTCACTCTGTTGCCCAGGCTGGAGTGCAGTCGTGTGGTCATGCACTGCTGCCTTGACCTCCTGGACTCAGGCAATGAGTCTTGAACTACTGGGCTAAGCAATCCTCCTGCCTTGGCCTCCCAATGTGTCGGGATTACAAGTGTGAGCCACCAGACCCAGCTCTTGTATGTTTATATCAATGGTATATACAAAAAAAAAAGTAGACACTAATTGTTCATGAGAGGGCTGTTAAATTAAGGTCTCTACTATAATGTGCCACCAAGCTGTGATTTAAAATGACAAGATGCTATGTTACTGACTTGGAAAGATGTCTGAGACGCGTGTTTGGGAGGAAAAAAGTAGGTTAGGAAAGAGCATAACAAGTTTCATATCATTTATGTAAAACTTTATGAACACATCCATATGTTATATGTATCCTCAAAATGTTAACAGTAGTTATTTCCGGACAAGGATGTATTTCTGTATATTTTTTAGTACTGTTTGAAGCTTTTTTACAGTGAGCATCATTTTTATAATAGAGAGATAAAAATTATAATCATCTTGGGAAATATAAAATAAGGATTGCCTTTCTTTTCATTTGGTAGGACTATTACCAGAGCCTATTGGATTTCATCTCTCTTTTTTTCTTTTTCTTAAGAAACATGCAAGAAATGCCCATTCCTTTAAAAATCATCAGTTATTTCACATTCCAAAAATATTGCAGTGAGATTCTTATAGTCAATGAGTTCTATGGACTGAATTTCACTTGTGGTAAGTATTCTATTTTGGAATATTATTTTTACATGTTACTCTGAGGAAGCAATTTCCTGAAGGAAATGTATTTTTGAAATAAAAGCTATATTTTATAATAAATTGATTTAAAAGGTGTTTTGAAATACAGACCCACATTTTATCTGATTTTTTTAAGATGAAAGAAAATAAACAGTGGTCAAGTCAGTCTCCTGTCAAAGGTCAATAGCTTAAGGCCACTTGGATGTTTTTAGAAAATGACGGACCTTACGTACAGTGAGGTAAACTCTAGTATATTCTGGATGGTCTCAGTTCCTGAAACTACTGAACACATTCAAGCAGGCTGAAGTGGCTTCTTGTTCCCCAAAATGTACATAGTATAGAGCAAAGAAAGGCCATTTTGGGCGAAAGTCTATTCCTCAATCCCACTAGAGGGAAGTACAAACATGACAAGGTCCTCATGGCTGCTGGAAATCCCAGAGACACTCTGAAGAACATGGTAGAATTTAGTAGTTGTTTTAAACAATATTAGGCGATAACAGTAACTTTAGAATATGTGGTGCTAAGTATCATGATTTTTATCAGAATATGGTAATGAACCTCTATACAAAACAGAAGCAAACCTGTCTCCATTTTCAAATGAGCCAAGCAAGGCCTAGAACCACTCTCTCTTGCTTCATCTAATTGTGAATTCCGGGCTCAATAAAGCATCCGTATTTTTCATGAAGGGGGTACTTAGCAGAGTGCTAAGCACTTAGTGAGCATTTGGTAAATATTTGTTGATCAAACGACCTGAGATAAATCACAGCTGACCTTGTCAATCTTTTCCTTGGCAGGCAGCTCAAATGTTTCTGTGACAATGAATCCAACCTGTGTCTTCACTCAAGGAATTCAATTCATTGAGAAGACCTGCCCGGGTGCGACATCCAGATTCACAGTGAACTTTCTGATTTTATATACATTCATTCCAGTTCTTGTCATCCTAGGAATAGCTGTTTTTAAAATAAGAGATCATCTCATTAGTAGATAGTGAGAAACATTGCTGGGAAAATGGAACGTAAACTGCCGGATGGGCACGGTTGCTCTGAATATCTGAAATAAGAGAGCCACACATTCTTTCTTGGTAGGACTTCAGTCATTTAACCATTAAGACTCCATTTGTGCCCCTTGGATCCACACAGACCTTGAAAGCAATGGAAATTGTTCATAGTTCCTTGCTATTCCAACTTGCAAGGACATGTGGTTTTCGAAATTGTGAATGAGCTAGCCCAAGAATGTAAATAATAATAATTCATAAACTTATGGGAGACTAGTGTGACTATTTGTTTTCCTTGTTCTGGACATAGAAAAATAGGTCAGTTAAAAAATATGCTTATATTTGAGAAATGATTACTGATTGTGAGTAACAGAAAAAGGAGTTATAGGTTTAATAGGTAAGAGTGCTTTTGTTATCATCTGAAACACATCCTTCTGGGCACCTGGCTACATGAGGGGCCTGATTGACCTGATCCCACTCAAGAGGATCGTGAACACATGGTGAGGAGCACCACCCATGCGAGCACCAGGGACTTTCTGCAGGGTAAGATGAGGTCCTGTGGAATGGGCTGAACAGTGCTCACAACACAACAGACAAACCCCTTTTGTTTGCTCTTCTTTACTTTCAGCTGAGTTTACTTATACAATTGAAAGTAAAAACGTTACTAGACAAAGCATATGCACTGTGAAATGACCTCTTTAAGCTGAAGATCAGCTGTTATTTAAAATTCATAGAGAAAAAATGCTGACACAACCTTTACACTAAGAAAGCTAGGGTTATGCTCTAGAAATGTACATTCTTGAACTGTAAGAGAAAGAATGCCAATAAATACAAATACAGACAGCAATGTTACATATCTTCAGGGATGACATTATATATATAGGTTATTAAAAATGGGTTCTGTAATAAATGACTGATTATTTCTGATTGATCTTCAAGTAATTCATGTACAAGTCAGAAATAAAACTGTCTCAATGTTACCATGGTAACTTTGAGCAAGAATGTGGTAGAGAGCACATGAACTTGTTCAGTTACTGTGACCTAACTTTGTAAAGAAGATAAATTATAGCATTTGAAATGTCTCACACTATAGTAGGAAAGATCATTTCATTAAGGAAGCCACAGTAAAATTTTATTTCTTAGAACAGTATTTAAGGATCTGCAGACATTGGTAAATTACCAGACTAGTACTGTCAATTTTTATAAAAGGTCTTTGACACCAATGATTATGGTATAATAGTTACATAATGTCTTACAGATTATATATGTCACATCAGTAATAGACAATTCTGGATATGATAATCTATTAAAGTAGTTCAAAGAGAGTCCCACAGGAACCTCTTTTGAAATCACTGATTTCAACTTACTAAAGATATGGGTGTACAACCTAAGTGGAAACATTTTCTACTATTCATATGCAGATGAATTTCATTCTAGCTCAAAAACATTTGGAAAATTGACATCACACGTGACTTCAAGCTATTAAGTGTCAGTGATAGCATCTTAGAAAAACACAATGGCTTTCAACATGTGACAGTTTGTGTCTCAAGTCAAAAATGGACAGTGATTTGTAAGATAATCAAATTATATAATAAAAATTCCTATTACTATTGTGGAATAGGCTGTTTCTTCCCACCAAGTCAGTGATGTTCCTGAGATCATGATGCTCATCATAAACTTAAAGGGATCTCTTTCTCCACACTATTCAGGCACAGAACCAGTCTATTCTTAAGACTGAGGCTCGAAATAATTGATAATAATAATAATACTTTTTAAAAAGGCAAATTCCTTGGAAATATATTGATAATTCTGTTCTTAAGAGTGTTAGAACCACACGCATTGCAAATAATGTATGAATTCCTATTTTGTTACAGTAATGAGATAGCTTGCTACGTGCTCAGACACCACTCAATCTTGGTGTCCTTGGGGTTAGTAATGTGCTTATTGGAAGTTGGATGTGTGCCATATGAGAGACAACATATTATATATGCGGAAATGAAAGAGCATAGAATAAATGATTTTCCTGGTTAATGACAACAATTATACCTAAAATGGAACTTGGCCAGTGGGTACACAAATCTACAGTATTGGGAAGGCTTCTTAAAGGTTATCCCACCTTGGAAATGACCCTGGTTATCCCCAACTCATGAAGTTTTGGTCTGCTTATGGATAGGATATCTCTTTAAACTTGCCTGTTCTTCAAAAAGTGATATTTAAAGTAAATGTGTCCATCTCACCAGGGGTAGGGGTGAGTGCTGAGTGAAAACATCCCATTCCAGACCACTGATTCAGAATCTCTGAGTCTGGGGACCAGGTATGTGCATCTTATAAGTACTGCAGGCGCTTCTTTTAACCATGACACCTGTGAACCCAATTCTGGTTCTTCACCAGCTGCAGCTAAGAATTCTTCCAGAAGGAACGTGTCTAACATGGGCGCTTAACCTTATATTTAAAACTGTTACCAAATACTCTTGCTTTAATCTTCCTAAAACCATATCAACAGAAATGTGTGCATGTGGAATTGAGCAGATATTACTTAAACATGTTAGAAGTAGGTCATAGAGGATTCTTTTATTTTTTAAAAATACTACATGTGGTTACACAATTCTTTTCCTTTTAAAAGACTTCAAGATATCCAGAATATTGCATGAGTACAATAAATGTAGCTTGTCCTTTTACAAATTATATATATTTAACTTTCCTCATATACTGTCACAATAGTTCATTAATCAAATTCTTACTTGTATTTGGAAAAGAAGAAATAAATACAAAGTAGTTGAATTAGGTTCAAGAATCAAGCTCAATTTGTTTCCAGGACTTGGAAGAACTTCTTTTGTACTGTTCTAGTTCCTAAAACAAAATATGTATTACTTCAAGAAAAATCAACTTTACAAATTCAAGTAAGTAACTTAAAACTGCCTTAGCATTTTTTATATACAACAATCTATCCTTAATAGCATTATGATTCTCAAGATTTCTTGACAATTATTTTGTAAGTGATTATCTTGAGACTTATTTTCAAGAAATACAGTCTTCAAAGTGTTGTCTAAGCAGCACTTAGAGATGAATTTATTAAAGTTCCAGACAAAATCATATACTACATAGTATATACAAAAGTACATACAAATTGCCTTTCAACTAAGAAACTGAAGCATTTGTCAGACTTCATGCATTTAAAAGTGATCTTATTTTTGATTGTCTGTTGGTTGGTTCTTGTCAAAAACTTGATTGAAGTTAGCAAAATATTTAAAATGTATGTATCCTTTGACTCAGTGATTCTACTTTGAGAAATTGATCATGCAGACTAACAGAGCAGCACAGAGGATGTCAGCAAAAGGATACTCGTGGCTCTGTGAATCTCAGCACATGACTGGAAGCAACTTAGTGTTCCCCAGCAAGGACTGATTAAGTAATCATTGTTCATTTGCAAGTGGCTTCCAAGACAGCTAGCAAAAATAATGGTGGTCCTATGTGTCACATGAAGAAAACACATAGGTAGGGAGAGCGCAAGATGCTTCCATTTCCCGTTGTATATACTTTGATATCTTTTGAATTTTTTCACAATGAGTGTATGCTACAAATCATAAAAGGAAGACAAACTTTAGTAGAGGTGAAAATTCTGCACAAGGCAATGGACATGTGAAAGGGACCATCTTGGAGGCCTGTCACCTACACCTCCTGCATGTTGCTCTATGTCTGAGTAACTGTGCAAAGGTTATTATTACTTCGAATAAACAAAAAGTGGTTACTCTGCAAGATAAGGCTGCCCTTTGGCTAACATATTTGGAGTTCACAGTTGCTATTAAGGAGAAAACCTATTCTTGTTTTCAGAAAAACTGCAGATTGTCCCTTTCATACCCACACTCTAAGCTATTACAGCTCAAATGTTAAATGTTTCAAAACGGTATACAGACTTTGAAAGAATTTTTTTTCTTTCTCTTTTTTCTTTAACTTCCTCACAGGATTCTAGGAAGAATTTATATGGTCATAATCCCAAAGTAGTCTTTACAGTTTGGTTTATATTTTCTAATGAAGTTAATTACAGTTTCAAAAATTAACTCAAAGAATAAGCAAATTAGTTACTGCAAACTTTGTCTTTAACGGGAAATGTTGGATTATTTTTTACTGATGGTGAAGTTGAGGACATTGCTTTGAGATTCTGCCAGAAGGATCTCCCTTCAGCAGAGCAAATGAAAGAAAAATGGGGCTGGTCACACCGGCCACACCAGGGAAGAGTAAGGAGAGCCAATGTGGTTTAGAACTCACCAAGGCCCCTAGAGCTTCAATACTGCTGTGATGTGACCTCAAAATAACACAATGATATTTTAAAGGAATAGCAAGTAAGAAGGTTTTCAGAATGGATATCTGTGCTTGGCCAAGAAGACCTTAAAAATAACTGTTTACTGAAAATGTTTCTTTCCTTTTTTAAATTTCTTTAAGAAAAATATGGGCAAGAGGTAGAGGGCTCAGCAATTGCTTTCCACATTCACCTTCCCTTAAAATCAGGAATGCTTAAAAGCTAGCAGGCTTGAAGAAATAGAAAACGCTACTGGAGGTACTTTCTGGTCCCATGTGAAGTCTGGCAAAGACAGAACTTTGGCTCATCTGAGCAGAGAGCAACCAAGGAAGGACACTCAATCTGCAAGAAAGGTGGCGGGGTCTTCCTACCAGTGCTGAGACCCAGGAGGGCTGGTGGCACAGCGCACAGCTAGAAACAACTGAAGGTCTCAAAAGGACTCTGAGAGAGCACAAAATAATACTGACATTGACAATCTGGATATTAGAATATCAAAATGTAGATTCCAATATCGAGCAAATAATCGAGCATCAACACTGGCAATCACTAGAGGATCCTGAAAGCAGGAGTATAGAATGATGTTAAGTGCTATGTGTGCAATCTGAAATCAAGGCAATGCAGCTACTAAAACAACGCAGGTGAAACTCATTTTGAGGCAAAATTAGGACATTATAACTTTGCAGGTAGATTAAAAAAAACTCTCAACCAAGAGGTTATAGCAACTGGTGACCTGCTAGCAGTGAGATACGAGGGTTGAGGGATGAATGACATGGGAGCTGTGGGCTTGCCTTCTGTTCCACACAACATTCCTGAAGTTCTGGGTCAGTTATGAACAGATTTGAACGTGAATAACTCATGGTGCTCTGAAATGCCCTTGTCCTTTAGTAACACCAATGTATGTGAACTTAATACAAGTGATCACTGTGCAATATAAACAGATACTCTTATCAACAATAGCAGTTAATCATTGACTCCTAGATAAATATTAATCCAGAGATGACTTCCAACTCATCTCTGCAGCCAAGCTGCAAACATAATAAGTGTTACAGCAGGTCACTT